CTGCTCAGTACCCAACAGCTGCTGCTTACAGCTGTTTACTTCCTTCTCCACTCCCTTACCTATTAACCATGAGCTCAGAGAAAAGCCTCAGAACTGGTTACAGGCTGGGCAGGAAGTTAAAGGAGCTCATTCTGTGGAATTAACATACCAGACCTTCTGCAGAAGAAACTCACACTAGGAATAACAGCAAAAGCACAGACTTATTTTCAAAACCAGATCTCTAAAAGCTGGAATGATCATAAAGATTGCAGGAGCTGGCTGGTTTTTACTCTGTATACATTGTCCCACCTAAATCCTTGATACACTGGAGGACTCTTTTTAAAGTATGCAAAGAAGCACCCATCCAATGGAATATTGATCTCTAAAGTTCTGTGTATCACTTAAGTGAGATAATCCCCATTCTCTTCCCACTCCAATGCACACATTTAAGTTCTGTGCTGACTGAGAACTTGTTTCACAAGCACAGAGTTTAATCTAAGTTATCAAAGTCACAACTTCCTAGCTAAGGAAGCGCTGGTTTTCCTCTCTCATTAAAAAAGACCATTCTTAAAATACATCCAATACTTTATTAATAAATGCTGGTCTTCAATACAGAGCACCGAATCTACCCAATTAAGAAACATTATTTTCATTTAAATATTAATTTCATAGTAGAAATGTCACTTCTGTTTGGATAAGCTAAATCTTAAAAACAGAATTTAAGTGATGACAGCTTTCATCAAATGCTAAATATTTTATTCTGACTTTTAAAAAACGTTTAAGTTCTTCAATACTAGGGCCTCCCAAACTCCATTACTGCAGTATCATGATTTAAATACAAACCACTGCCTTCTGGCTCAATGGGACCCTTCTTACCACCAAGTGTGATAGTTGTGCTAAATTACCTATCCAAGGCAGGGCTTAGTATAGCCCTGAATATTCACTATAGTTAAGGTGAAATTACAGTAAAAAGGTAATTCCATACATAGAGACAGCATTTGCAAAGGTTTAAAATATTTCAACTAAGCTTACATCAACTGAATTTCATTAGCTAGCTAATCTTAACTTTCTGAGCCCCTAAACATAAAAATTCTGACTTACTTCTAGACATTCACTGAAAGCATGAATTCAATCACGTAACTTCAAGTTATTCAACTATTTTGAAAAAACCCAACAAACAAAATCCAGGACTGCCCGCAAAAGTGTTGTGGGTTTCATCCAGAGAAGAAAATTTAATTCCAACCAGCTTTATTATAGATTGTTTTTTAAATTCAAACCAAGTTCAAAAGAAAAAAGTAGCTGAAATAAAGTAGTAAGAAGGCTTTGTAACTCTTCAACTTTGGTTAAACTAATGCAGGTTTCTATGCAGTCCCCACTGATGCACATTACACCTCATCTCTGAAAAATACTGTATTTCCAGGGTTAGCAGTATTTCTTACAATGAGCATCTGAAGAAGGGGAGTTAAAGTTGCAATTAATTATACATCTAGGAACAGTGCTAGTGGCTACAGCCTGAAGAAAATAGTTATTCAGTCTCCAGTCCACCAGTGTCAATGGAAGCCTTCTATCTGTACTTAAGTAGCAAAAAATGGTTTTGTCACCTTCAGCCTTTAGCTTCCAGGATGCCAACCCCACTTAAGATTTTTCTAATAAATTATTCCAATATAATGATGCTGGCTTGTGCTATGCTTAATCAAATGGCCATAAAACACAGCAGGCACAAGCTTTCTTAAAGATTACACAGATGAGACATTTCATGCATACATCTCCTGTATTAATTATATTTTTAGCCTATCAAGATCACTTAGGCCACTTATATTACCTCACTTCAACGGATGTGTATAGCAGTGATAAAATGGATGTGTACCAATGATGTAACGTTTCCAAGTTTTCCAAATTTTACACATTCTTGATTCCCTACTCCTACATAAATGCTTCCCTGCTACTGGATCATCACCATTTGAAGCGGAAGCTCCAGCATGCTGCAGCAATTACAGGATGTGTTTTTAGCAGGCACCAATTGACACTTCAGACCAAGACAATGTGCCACAGCATGCACCAAGCATTTAGATACATGCTTATAAATCAAAGCGAATTTCTTGATAATTCTGCGGAGAAAAAAAAAAATGGTGAAAAATCTCATCCTTAGGAAAGAAAACACTCAATTTTAAGAAGCAGGTTCACGTTATGCCATGGGAAAAGAATTTGCTTGTTATCATAAAACAACTGCAAAGCAACGCATATCAAGGACAATTCTGCCAACTGAACTCAAGCTGCCCCCAGAGCAGATGGCACTGATGCCATGACAAACTCCAGCATAACAATAATGTTTCTAGGACTGGCTGTGTACCTGACAACTACTTCAGTTTGGGGAGCGCTTTATACAGTGTGTTCCAGAAGAAGACAACCCAACACATAAAAACTCATTTACTTTCATTTTCAAATCAGAAGTATAATTTGCCAATTATGTCATAATAGTGGTTGTATTCTGAATGTGAAACAGACTTCAGATTAAAGGTACACACACACACAGAGTCTCAAAGTCTAGTTTATTCAGTATAATGAAGACTGTTATTTCGCTTGATACATCAAGTCCACAAAGAGGGAGTCAGCCAAACAGACTGAAAATATCTTCACTGGTACATTTAGGATGTCATCTGCTGCAGGAGACAATGAATTCTAGTCTTGACAAGTAATACAACAAACTAAATCAGCTATGTGTGGTTACAATGTTCTAAGGTTCTGGTTTCTCTTTAGCCTATTCTCATCTACTGCAAAAGACATACTACAAGGAAGCAGAGTTCCAAGGTCTGAACTGTGATCTCACAGTTGGAAGGCAGGGAATCCCAGCTTACCAGGTACAATGCCGTTTACTCTGGGCTTTACTGGTTGACAGGATTAAAATTAAATTCACAACCATTTTGTTATGGAACTGGCCCGGCTATTTTTTTATGTCAGCATCAGGCCCTGTAAACATTTGTACTGGAAACCAGTAGAGGAAAGAAAGCAACATGCAAATAATATTTTCATTCCACAAATAAAGTTCAACTTCCAGGCTTGCAAATACAAAAATCAAAACTACAAACTCCATGTGAATTTAGAAGTGTATCTTGTACTGTGGTGTGATTAAACTGATCAGAAAAACCCAAACAAACACACACAAAAAAAAGGCAAAAAAAACCCCCTAACTCAACTATCTTCCCAATCCTAAACTCCTGCACTTGGTAAAGGAAGAACCTTGCTACTACACAGTGCAATAGAGAGTTAAGAACCAATACAGGACAAGAGATTGTACACAACAGGCTAAAACGCTGAAGTCAGACATGACTTACTGGTTCAGGAGTCATGCTGAATCGTTTTCAGGTGCTGACCACCAGATTACTACATAAGTGGGGGTTTGTCTTGGTTTCCATTTGACGATAAATTCTTACCTGCAGCGCCTGAACGTGTTTCATAAGCATGAGTTGATGACAAAGCATACCAGGGAGTATCCTAGTTGTGTTTCAACTCAAGTGATATCATCCACAAATACAGGGAGCAAGTTTTGATCGCAGATTCAAAAAGAATTGTTTTGAAATTCTTGCCAGAGCATAGCCATAATTCAAAGACAATCCATTCAGGTAGCTACCCAGAATGGATTCAGAATTTTCGAGGATAAAAGTACCATCCATTCACTAAAAATATATCAAAAAACCGCCCGTTTTGTCTAAAATATTACCACAAGCACTGCGTGAAAATAGAAGGAGACTAAAACAGGCGTCATGAAGTTTATACCCTGTCTACAAAAGGTGTTTTGTGCACCGAAATTCACCGATTTCAGGACACACTGACGTTCTGCCATCTTGGCAGGCTATGAGATGACCAAGAAACTCCTCTGAGCTCTTGAAACACGTAAGTGCTCCACGTAGCTCGCGTAAGAAGGAGCACAGACCAACAGCGACTTCCCGGTATCGCCGCTACGCTCCCATTGCGTTCTACCATTACATCCCAGCAATTCTCAAACCTGCCGAGAAAACCTAAACCTACCTAGGGGCAACTGCATGCCGGGAGCCTTCTTACCCTGGGAGAGGTTTAATAAAACACAACCACCACCACAAAAAAAACCAACCAACCAACCAACCAACCAACAACAACAAAAAAAAAAAAACCAAAACCAAAAACAAACAAACAAAAAAAAACCAAACAAAACAAACAAACAAAACCAAAAAGAAACAAAAACCAACAAACTTTCATCACCTCTACATTTTTTCCGAGTTAGCCGCCGCGAAATTGCTCCACCCGGCTCCGATTGTGCAAAGGGGGGAGGCGGCGGCGCGCAGCGCGCTCACGACGGGCGAGGGGGGAAGCGATTCCCGGACGGGTGATGGATTCCCGGTGGCTCGGAGAGCCCTGGGGCGGCGGAGAGGGGCGACTGCGGGGCGAGGGCAGCACCGCGGTGGCTACTCCGTGTGTCCGTGTGGCGTTATTGCAGAACGGGAGGGATCCCGGAAAGCGCCCGGGCCAGGCGGACCCGCCGCCATCTTACAATGCGGGAGAGAAGTTGCACAGCAGAGGGGAGAACCCGGCCGAGGGGCCCAGCTGCTGCCCCGGGCAGCACCGCCATCGCGCCGAAATCCCCCCGGCACACACGGGCAGGCGCCATCCGGGCCGGCTTCGGCGTAAGGGCAGCGGCAGCGATCCCGGGCTGCGCTGACATCCGAGCAGCCTCGGGAGCTGCCTCTCTCCGACTCCCCCGGCCGCCGCCCTCAGGAAGGGGCCGGGGCCGAGCTCCAAGCTCGGGCCCGGAGAGAGCGGCCTCACCGCCCCAGCCGGGCCGCGGCCCCGCCGGAAGGAGCCGTCGCTTCCCGGCCTCTCCAGCCTCCGCCTCTCCCCCTCCGCCCGTCTCCTACAGGGGCGGGGGGAGAAAGCGATGGGGGAAAGGGAAGAAAAAAACACCCAAAAAATAACAATAAAAAGAAGGGCGAAGCGGTGAAGGGGGAGGGGGGGACGGCGGAGGAGGAGGAGCCGTGGTGCTCACTCACCTTGTTGATGCGTTTCAGCGCCATTGTGTGTGTGCGACTGCCTGGCCCGTCTTACGCGCCGCGGTGACTCCGCGCTCCGCTCGGGGGGCCGGGAGGGAGGAGGAGAGGGAGAGGGAGGAGGAGGAGGAGGAGAACGGGGAGGAAGGCGGAGAGGGGGGAGGGGGCAGCTGCTCTTCTCCTTCCTCCGGAAACAGCCGGGGGGGCGCCCGACCGGCCGGCCGCCCGAAGTCCTGTCTGCCTGCGGGCAGCGGGGCCGTGAGGCTGCCGGAGGAACGCTCCGCCCACCGCCGCCTGTCACGGCCGGGAGAGGGTGCGAGGTGCGCGGAGAGCCGAGAGGCGCCGCCCGCCCGGGGAAGAGCAAGAGAGGAAGGGCGAGAGAGCCCCGCGCTGCCGCCGCTGGCCAGGCCCGGACGCCGCGGGAGGGAGGGAGGGAGGGAGGGAGGCGGGGCCGGGCCTGGCACGCCGCCGCCAACGGCTCCCGGGGGCGGGGCCGAGGGCCGAGAGGCGGGGCCAAGGGCGAACGGGCGGGGCAGGGGAAGGAAGGTTCTGGGGCTGCCCGCGGGCGTGGCCGTCTCGGGATCGCTGTGCGGCTTTTCCTGCTTGCGGCTCCTAGGGGTCGCGGCGGGCTCCGGAGCTCGGTGGCCCCCGGGGCTCGGCGGCGGGCGCGCACTGCTGATAGCAGGTCCCGCCTCCCCGCGAAATGGCGGCAGCGGCCGGATCTAGGTCCGCCTGCTGACGCGGCGGCCCTGTGTTCCTCCGCGCGTCAGCTGTGTGTCAGCGCCGCGGAGGGGTCACTGTCCGCCTGGAGCCCCAGATGCTGTAGCGGGTCTCGGCCGTCCTGGCGCTTGGGAAGAGCCGGCGCTCCCAGGGGCACGGCCGTCACGGGAGCGGCTGGGCACGGAGCAAGGTGGGAGCCCCGAAGCGATGGGGTTTGCACCGTTCACCGCCGTGCCAGTGACGAAGCTAAAGCTCTGCTTAGCGCAGGCCTGGTCTGAGGGTAACGGGCCTGGACACTTCCTTTTAGTGGCATATCGGCACACAGGAGGATACTAAACCAAATGTCTCAGTATAGGGGAAAAAACATCACCAAAGGGAAGATACGGTGAAGTGGACTGTCAGTACAAGGGCTATCAAAGAGAATCATATAATCGTCAAAATTGGAAGTGACCTTTAAAAATCATAAAGTCCAATTTTACCACGTGGCATTACCACTGTAATCCCTAAACCATATTACCCAGTGCCAGTTACAGACGCCTCTTAAGCACTTCCAGGAATGTTGACTCTACCACCTTCCTGGGCAACCTATTCCAATGCCTGACCACCTGAACATTGAAAAAAAGTATTCTAATATCTGATTTGAAACTACCCTGTCTCACCTTAACCTAGTTCCCTCACAGCAGGCAGTCTAGAAGAGACTGACCCCACTTCACGACAATCTTTCAGGTAGTTCAGGAGAGTGATGAGAAATAATTGTTTTTTTACAGTGATAGCATCTGTGACACTTCCAGCTCCTTGGAGAATTTTGTGCAGCATGGGCCAACAGATCACTCTCAGCAGGTGGTTTTTTTTCTCTCACAGTAATAAAATGTGCAGGTTCTCTACATGCGGAAGGACTCCTACTCCATTTCTGTGAAACAAGACGAGAAAGATTGCCTGACTGCCCTTCTGCTGTAATGATGGGATGTATTACAGTGACAAATATGGCATTTGCTGTCCAGGGGGGATGTCCACATAACTGCACTGGACTCAGTTTGTGTTCGTTGTAGTGCTGTAGTGTTAGTTGTCTTGCTGTCTAGGACACTAATTATTATTGGTGTAGAGAAGGCAGAATATTCAAAAAAGTTTACTGTGGAACAACATTTTCAGTATGAAGCTTGACAATAGGCAGCAGTGAATTAGGAGAGCAGTGGGGGTTTTTTTATTTTAAAAATAGCACTGTAGTAGGACTGCCATCGTTTTTTTAACACTGATATTTACAGGCTAAAGAGAAAACAATGCCTTGTACTTGTAAAGTCAAGTTATCTTACTATGATCTCCTAAACAAATCCTAGCAACTTCCTTATGTAGTCTTCATTTTCTGTTTATTCTTTTAATTGTACTGAACAGCATGCTCAGGAAGTGTAATTCCAAACTATTTGATTTTCATTCTTATCATGTTAGTCAAGAATATTGCTGAAGAACACCTTGCTGTTCCTCCTTTGGATTAGGAATGCTATTAAACTGCTCCGAATCACCAGCATGTCTATCTTTGCACTACAGACATCTTCTTCTGCCTTGTAAATTGCTCACAAACTTTCTGAGCTTCATTATTGTTTGTCATCTCGGGAGATTTAGATACTTGGCAGTGTTCCAGTTCTCAATTTTGTAATTATTATTTTGGATTAATGGATTCTAATATGACTTTATATTAACATTTTTGATCAGACTTGTGATTCACATTTTCTGTATAATGAAAGAAATTAACAGCACAAACATACTGTGGACAGTGTGTAATTTTCCCTGCTAATTTAAGACAGCAGGAATTGTTAATCTGGTAAATCAAGTTTTATTACGTGTTAAATTCAATATCTTTATTAGCATTTGACCCCATAGACAATATAAAATTTATTGGATAGCTCTTGTTTATAGCCATTGCTCAGGAATAGATTTGCAAATTTTAGTTTAATATACTTGTTTAGGTAAACACTAAACACTTATTGGTTACTTGTTGCACTTGCTGGTCATTTAAAAAAAACCAGATCTACCTATTTCCTACCTTTAAATGCACTTGAGGAAAATAATAAAAAAATATTGCTTGTGTAGGAATGAAAAGCAAGACATGTAGTCACAGTTCTGTCAGCAGTTCTGCAAGTCACAGCACACAGGTCTGCTTGGAGAACATATATTTTTCACTCTCACCTCCTTTTCCTCAAATTGTGAGGTAAAATCATATATTTTCTCCTCAATATTTGGAAAAAAATAAAACCAAACAGTTTTTTTACCTCACTAGGAATATTTGGGCAAGTAAGGCCTCAAAACCTGAATATGTTATGTGCCCATACTGAGAGTTTCTCAGCTTTACCCAACACAGCATGTATATTCTTTTGCATACATTCTTCATATGGTAATATAAAATGCAAGAGGCGCAGGTGATGGTTACTGAATAAGGGTATTGCAACTTATTGTGGAACTATTTGTGTTTGCTTCATTTTAATTTGATTTTTGAAGTTAATCCTCAGAAGTGGCTGTAGAGAGGTATTACCATGTCTAATCCTCCACAGCAGTGGAGTCGGGTTAGACTTTTAGAGGTTTATTATGCAAAATAGCTCAGTAGATGTGGCCCGGTAATAAAGAGTTTGCACAAAAATACTGAGAGCAGACCAGCTCTCTTGAGCCCTGTCTTTGAATTTTGTTTTTTCAAGTATGGTGTTCCAGAGCCCTGTGTGGCCAAGTGATCAACAGCCTCCAAAGGCTGGATTCACCAGCCCATTTCAGCTGCTTCCTGATGGTCCAACAGAGGAATGGATGGTCCAGCCATGAATGGAGGTTGCCTTGTTTGGCTGTTACAGCACTGCCCCTCAGGGACTTGAGGGAAAAGCAGCCCAGCCTTTTAGTTTTAAGGTTACCATAGGTTACTTGTACAACAGTGCTGATTTTTCACTTCAGCCTGCCTGAAACCAGCCAGTTTTATATTTGGAGCATGCTATTCTACCTGCCTTTAAAACAGGTGGAGTAACCAAGCATCCTGGACACCAAGCAACATTCCATACACGATGCTTCATATATCTGAGATGAAAGGGGGAAACAAGATGCAAATGTTTCCCAAAAATATTTCCCATTTTAGGAGAGAAAAAGAAATTATTTCAACAAAAGCAAGATATCCATCTGGTCCATCCAACAGATTACTATTAGTGCCTGTTTGGAACACTTCAGTTCATGCTGCTGGAAAACAAAGTGCTAAGATCAACAACAACAACAACAACAGCTTCTCCCTGTTTGCATGTATTACCAGGCCTCAATTTTCTCTTCAGCGTCCTGTCTAACTTGTTTTTCCTTTAATTACTGTAAATCAAGCTTGCAGCCAAATCCTTCTTTAATCTGAGCAAAACTCACCTTATTGAGGACCTTTTTGATTCAGTGGATACCACAAAGAATAAGATCACAGGAAAAAGCTGATAAAATAAGATTGTTCCACTGGCTTCTTTTTTTTTAACACAACAACAAAAAAGGCTGAATTTGCCAAGTGCCATTACAAGACAGTGGAAGAAAACATGTTTGGGGATGCCATTAGATCTGTTTCAAATTCCAAAGATCAGCAGGCCTTTTGGTGTAGCTGGGGGCATCTCCCTTCAATAAGGATGACTAGGTCACAGTTACAGACTTCGTAGTGCATGCTCAGTTCCCTGGCTGTTGCATCTGGGACCATTATGTCTCCTTCTGTTAGGAAGAAGAGGTAGCAACCCCCTTTCACATCTAGACTGAAGCCCAAGGTCAGTATATTAGGCAGAAGTCAGCTTTTCAAGAAATACCAGATAAAAGGTAACTTCCTTGATATTCCAACTTGGCCAATTCCTCATCTCCCACTGTTTCTTCAACAGCTTCTCTGACATTTTCACTGAAACAATTCCCAAGCTAATCCACATTTCCTTTGAATTAGAAGTGCTTTCTGTCTCAATTCTAGTTCATGGAGTGAAATGCTGAGTCCCTACATCAAATTAAGTTGTTGCAGCTTTGTGTAGGGAGTTGGAAAACCAAGTGTTTAAGTCTACATGTGACTCCCAGTGAAAGCCTGGAGTGTTTGCGCAGTCATGTGGAATTCACAAGAGCATAGAACACTTCACTAACCTACACCAAGATAAACAGACTGAAGTCTCTCACAAAATCTTCTGGTCTTCAGGACTTTGTCTAGCACTTCATTGTTTGGCACTTTTTTATCTTCATAGTGACAACATAGTTTTCTTTCAGTTAAAGATTTTTCTCTTCTCTTGAAATCCTTCCAGAAAATAAGAGCTATTTTACAAGAATAAACATATGACAAGATAAAATTCTGTACACTATTTTCACAGACCTAAGCAACAGAATCTCTGAAAATCACTACAGGTTATTTATTAGTATGCATCCAGAGTATTCCTTTTTTTTTTTCCCAGCAAAACTACCATTTGATCTAGATGAAAAAGATATCCCTGTCAAGTCACCAGCAGTCTTTGTCAACAAGAATGTTCATTTTCTGTGCTGATTCAGCCCTATGGATATTGAGGCATGAAAGTCAGATGAGCATGTGT